TAGGCCAGCAATTATCGGCTTAGTGATGTCTGTGTCTTAACTAGAGGTGCTGGTGAGCTCAAAAATTCCATGAGAATGCATTCTACCCACCCCTATACAAGAGTGCATTGTCATGGAACGTCAAGCAACCAGCTCTGCCACAAGGCATGGGGATGTCATTCGTGCCTCCCAGAGGTGTCGAAGGTCAGAGGTATGTATTTTTTTTAATCATTTGTGGGTGCAAAGGTCTGGTAAAAAAGCAGACTTTCAATTTACCATTAAAGGTCCACTTCCAGAGTCTAGAACAGGGTTTCTCAACCAGGGTTCCTCCAGTGGTTGCTAGGAGTTCCTTGAGCAATGAGAAATTTATGACACTCAGATACATTTCTACAGATACCATTGATCTTTTTAGCTATCTGTAAGGGGGTAATTCTTCCCAATGACACGAGTGTTAGGAGCATTCTTCCCACTGACCATCACACTAATGTTTCATGAGTTTTAGACATTGTAATTTTTTGCAGGGGTTCCCCAAGACCAGAAAGTTATTTCAGGGCTTCCTCTGTGTTGAAAGGGTTGAGAAAGGCTGGTTTAGGTGCCCCTTGATGCCCTCCTAGATCTTTAGAGTTTAAGTTTAGTGCTCTCTTGAGGAAAATTTTGCTTGCCACTCAAAATTGTTTACCCAGGGGTATAAATAAGGGAGTGGAGCCTGTAGTCTTGGTAAGAGTTAGTGGTAAGAGGAGAGAGAACCTAACATTGCTGAGAGAGGAAAACTAGGCCCTTTTGGATGTTCCAGGGTCCGTATAGAACTCACAATGTAAACTGTTTGTGCTGTTTCCAGCAAGAAGCGACAAAGTCAAGCACTAAATAAAGAAAATGATAAAAAATCCAAATTTCCAAACTATCCCCAAACAGAAGGAAATCTTAAATGGAGATATTTGTTTCTGTGACAACTGCCTAAGAGGCTTTTTCCTTCAAATTTCCTTCATATTGGAAAGATTTCCCATCTATTCCTGTTGTGTTTGCAAGGCATGATATGAAGAGAAATCTCTTGAATGGGACACAAATTGCAATCCTTTCCCCAAAACCTAGAGTAGTATTATCAATTATAATCTACACTATCCAGCCACTAGATCAGCCTTTCACAACCAGGGTTCCTTGGAACCCTAGGATTCCTCCAGGGGTTGCTAGGGGTTCCATGAGCAATGAGAAGTTTCTGCCTCTGAGTTATCACTGACATTTTTCATCTTTTCAGATATCTGATATACTGTATATGTCGGGGGGCATTCTTTCCACTGCCCCCCCCAATGTAAGGGGCCCTTCTCCATTCACCATCAATATAATGGAACACTTCACTGACCATCAGTGTAAGAGGGCACTTTACTGACCACCAATGTAAGGGAGTACTATCATTTTCACAGTTTGTATTTCTCGTGTGGCTATTACTATTATTTAATTAATTTCATAATTACTACCAAAGATAGCTTTTTCCTTCAGAGTTTCAAATATGCTAAATACGAAAAATTTCTTTTTTTCTTTTATCCACAACATATTGTTTATGTTAAAACAGAATTTCACTCCAAAAGGGAAGTTCCGCTTAATGCCCCCCCCCCCCCCCCCCATTTCTCTTCTTCTTTTGAAACTTTTTTTTTTGGAGGGGGGATACCTAGTTTTGTAGGTACCCATTCCCACTTCTGGTTGGATCACCTCACCTTGGTGATTTCACTAGATGTTTGGCACCACCCCTTCCCTGCTGGGACACATCACAGGTTCCAGCAGGCTGTGCACCATTCACACAGCATGGTTCATGCATACACAGTGGGAAATTAGCTGTGAAGCCTAGGCACCTTGCAGAATTCACTGAGAGTGGGATTTGTGGCAAAACAAGTACAACTTCTGAGTAGAGAAGCTACTTGCAATTATCCTTGTAAATAGCATTCATCACAGTGCTGGAGGCATCCAAGGTCCAAAGACAAAAGGTCACCCCACTGGAGCTGCAGCACTCTGTTAGCTATTGAAGAGGGACTCCCCACAGCAACTGGGTTGAGAACCTGCGTGCTGATAGGCTTTGGCTCAGTTGCCTGCACCTTGATTCCAACTTTGGAGAGCTAATCACCTGACTACAAATCCCTTGCCCAGCTACCCCTGCTTCATCTAGTGTGAACTTTCTGAGCTGCAAAGGGAGGGAAACAGAGAAACGTACCCAAAAATCCAGGGAGTTGTGAGAATAGGGGTTAAAGGGACCTGCACCTGCATTTGCTCATGGTGAGCAAAGTGGCACTCCACTACACTCGAACTTGCTATCGCTGGCAAGTTTGTAAATTTATCCTGTGCAATGTGTACAGGGGATTTTCCAAAACTAGATCTGTGGGAGCTCCTCAAGGTTCAGGTCTCAGGTCCATCTCCTGGAAGAAGAGGCGATGCACCTTTGTCTTCAGGCACGTCAGTGGATGGTGTAATATTGTCAGGATCCATGGCCTCACCTGGAGGTCATGGAATTAATAGTTGATGAGAATGGTGCAACCACAATTAAACTTCTGGTGACAGAGACATTTGTGGACTCATGGTTTTTCGAAAACTCCCTGTGGGCCTCTCTGTGTGGTCTCAGTTGGTTTAACGAGTCTATGGTGTAGGTATCTTGGTTTTTCTTGAATTCCTTCTCTCAGGATACATAGCCTGGCATACCTGGAATAGGCTGTTGTAGGACAACTCCAGGGACTTCTTCCCACAGCGTTTGCAATTTTTCTGATTACTGTGTGCCTTTACATCTGACATCCCAGCAATGTGCATAGAAACCAGTCAGCTTCCAGGTTTATTGTCAAAGCTTAATGTAGGCCATATATAGGTTGAATTCTGAATGAATTTTAATTAGAAAATTGGAAATTTTGTGCATTTTGTAATGCGATGGTGCCACCATTGATTTCAAAATTTGACCAGCCAAGCCTTTAATTTCACCTCATGTTGCTACAGAAAAGAATTTTCGTAGCCAAGAATTTTTTTTTTCTTTCCAGGTCACAGCTCACGCTCTTTTCTTTTTCGATTACATTTCTCACACAATTCTCCTATCATTGATTAGAAATGAATTTGTTTTTCAAAACATTTCCAACATGCCCGATCACTAAAATTTGATGGTGACCTGAAAATCAGCTGTTGCTTTGGCCCACTAATGGTGCGAAATTTTAACGAAAATTATTCGAAAAGATTTTCAGAAGACAATTCTTTCGTAATTCGACCCATGTATGGCTGGCTAAACTAAACAAGCTGAAGTTAGAAGCTGATTGGCTTCCGTGCACAGCTGCACCAGATTTTGCACTCTCCAGTTTTAGTAAATCTAGCTCATAGTGTATCCAGGTGAATTATAACTTTTTTTTCTTTTTTTTTTCAGGAACAATTGGACATCCATTTAGTTGTAGATGTTAGTGGACATCGCCTGACTTTGTTTATCATAATCAAGGGAAATCTGCCCCCCCCCCCAAAAAAAAAACTGAACTGTAGCACTATTTTTCTTGCTATTATCATGACCCACCACCAATGTACTCCCAAAATACATTTTTATACTCCTGATGATTGCAGCAATACCACATCTAATGTACATTATCTGCTGTTTGTACCTGTAAGGCCCAGAAAAAGATGCATATTTAGATTTTACTATCCTACCTAAAACACACTGACACTGACATTTATTCTAAATAATGTTTTTTTAATTCTTCCTAAAACACAATGATCCTGATGTTTGACCACAACCTTGATCCTACACCTGACACCGTCAATGACCTAGATCAGGGGGTGCTCAACCACTTGAATAGCAAGAACCACGTAAGTGATTTGGTAGCTGGTCGCAGACCACAATGAAATGAAACGGTTTCAGAATTTAGATTTTTTTATTTTGAATAAATGAACATTTTCCTCCTGCAGAGACCGAATGCCGGTGGGAGGGAGAGGAGGACTAGCTGGTTTTCAGTGGTTGCAGGTGGAAATTGGAGAGGAATGCTTCTTCTGTCCAAGTGCTGGAGCATGGGGCACGGTCACCATTGCAACCCCTGACACTACACCAGTGCTTGGGGGCGTGGGGTAAAAAAATGCCTCTCAACTATGGGGTTTGAACAGGTTGAGCAATCTTGTCCTAGATCAAACCCTAGCTATTTTACCCCTATTATTTTTTATTGTTTTCCCCAAACTTTTTTTTGTTTACATTTTTTTCTCCTCTAGAAAAGAGAAAAAAGATACAGTGTATCTTTTTCTCCATTCAAGAGAAGAAAGTACAGGAGTAGACTGAAAAGTTACTCATAATCGTTATAACTAATCACAGGCTATCACAGTGATCATCTGATCAAGAGCCTATCCTGAGAGCTCCCAATTGTTAGCATAAGACCTGGAGCTGTCAGTAACAGCGCGGTCCCTGTACTGGAAAGACTGTGCAGCATGCTCCCAGCAAAAACACAGATATGCAAAAATGTTACAAAATCCATCTCTGTTAGGCCAGTTAGGTGTTTCCACTCGTCTGGATCCAGTGAATGAACCATTGTACTTTAGAAAGACATAATTTTCACTCTCAAATCCAGGAAGTCAAAGTGTGTTCAAGTTCTTTTGTGGGCTCTGTGGCCCATAGGTCTGTTGTTCTCCAGAAAGTATGGAGACATAGCATTGTAGATTAGGTAGACTGTTGAGGAATGCACTGTATGGCTGTATTTCCAGACCACTTTTGCTGAGTAATAGGTAATTTCCTTTGTTTCTCACAAGCTATGCCTAAAGCTATATCATGGCTGTGATTGAACCTCCCACATGCCCCATTGACTTGTGGGTGGTATGGTGTAGAGTGTGCCTTCTTAATCCCTAGTAGGTAGCACCATTCTTGGAAAAACTAACTTTTGAAACAGGATCCCTAGTCTGAATGTATTTTCTGAAGATATCTAAAAAGTAAGGTAGAAGTGCTTCCATACCTGGGGCGGACTGACCATTTGGAAACTCAGGCACTGCCGGAGGGCCCGGGATCAGTAGGGGGCTCCATGAGTGGCCCCTGGTACCTTTTTCATAGGCTTTTTTGAGTTTGGGCAAGGACACAGGGGCCCCATGATCCCCTATTTCCCGGGGGCCCCCATGAGTTGTCAGTCCGCCCCTGTTCCATACCATCATCGTCATTATGCATGCCATTAGGCTCTGGCCTGGCTACAGATCACTTGTCCAGCTACTTCTGCTTCATCGAGTGTGGCTCCTCTGAGCTGCTCAGAAACATATCTTCCCTGGGTGTGTCAACATCCCAAGAAATTGTAATAAAAGAAGTTAGAGGAACCTGCACCTGCAACTGAGCATGGTGAGTAAATGGGCATTCCACTATACAATTCACGGACAAATTGAGGGACAGTTTTTTTTGTAATGCATTAACATAAAATGTACCACCCACTTCTTGAGCTCTTTAACCCTTTGTTAGGACAGGTAGTGTGGACAGCTAATAATGAGATCTGCTAGCACACATTATAGCCAGAGCTAATTATGGTATTATGGTAAACATAATTCCCCAGCCCTCCCCTTAAAGTGATATTAAAGGCATTTTTTTACAAAATATACCAAACATGTCATACTTACCTGCTCTGTACAGTGGTTTTGCACAGAGCAGCTCCGATTCTCCTCTTGTTGGGGGCCCCAGTAGAGCTCCTGTCCCTTCCCTCCTGCCAAGTGCCCCCCAAAGCAAACAGCTTGCTATGGAAGCACAAAGCAGGCTCGTTCCTGAACTGTAGCTCTGCGTGTCCATTCACACAGAGTCTTGGCTCAACCCAGTCCTCCACTCTCTCCTCATTGGCTCACTGGATGTAATTGACAGCTAATAAGGAGGGAGAGTCCCCGGAGAGCCAAGGCTCTTCTGCACATCGCTGGATTGAGTTGGGGCTCTGGTAGTTATTAGGGGGGGCTGGGGGACTTCTGCACACATAAGGTTTTTTTATCTTTATTCATAGAATGCGTGAAGGTACAATTCTTTGAGCCATCACAACCACTTTAACATTGCATAGAAGGGAAAGCTTGGTGGGATTTTTACACAAGTAAAAAGCAAGCAAAAAGGAAGGCATCATTTTTTTTTTACGTTGTGTGATCAGGATAATGTAAACAAATATAAAGTAGGTGTTATCCTAATTTGGCTTCAAAAATTGAAATACACTTTAAAAGAGTGTTTGGATGTACAGATTTGTGCCGGGTTCAAAGAGCTCAAGCATAGTCAGTAGATGTAAACCTAACCACTAAAATCTCATCTAAACGTTAAGGCTAGGTTCACATTTGAGCATCAGTCTCAGCTCTTTGAAGCTTTTTTTATGCACATTTTAAAGCGTACTTGTTATGTGACCAATGGAAAGCAGGTTACTAGGAGAAGACTAGATGTTTGGCTATGCACTTCAAAAACCACTTGAGGACCACCCACAGTATATATACTGCGGGTGGGCGGTCCCGCTGCGCTGGATCATGTACATATACATGACCCAGCATTTTCACGTTTAGGGCACACACTCCCCCGCACAATCTTTGCTGTGATTCAGTAAAGCACAAGTCGATCAGTGGGTCCCAGTCAAGGGTTTATGGCCGAGGCCTGCTGATCGGCTTAGCAAATCTCAGCACAGAGCCCTGTGTTTTAATAACAACACAGGGCTCTGTACATTGAGCAGTAATGTGTTTTTTTTTTCTCCATGTAAAGGAGCCACATCTCTAAATAAGAGCAGAGCATATTACACACATTACACATTGGTAGGCACACAAGTAACCCTTTGATTGCACCTAGATATTAACCCCAGTGTCATTAGTACAGTGACAATGTACAGTATTATCACAGATCACTGTATTAGTGTCACATTTGATGTCAATGTTAGTTTATCAGTTAATGTCCCTCCCAGCCAGCATCAGCTAGTACCAGATTGCCATCCACGCTATCACAGTCACACAATCAGTGGCTCACCACCATTACCAGTATGGTGCCATAGCTGCGTAAATTCCACTATATATACCATTGTTTGTAGGCACTATAACTTTCGCAAAAAACAATTATTATACACTTACTGGGATTTTTTTTTTTTTTTTTTTTACCAAATACATAGTTACATAGTCTGGCTGAAAAAAGACAAAAGTCCATCCAGTTCAACCATTAAAAAAAAAAAGTTATAATCCCACACCCACAGTTGATCCAGAGGAAGGCAAAAAAAAAACAGCAAAGCATGATTCAGTTTGCACCTGCAGGGGAAAAAATTCCTTCCTGATCCCCTGAGAGGCAACTGGATATTCCCTGGATCAAAATGTTAGTATCCAGTTATATTCTGTGTATCTAAGAAACAATCCAGGCCTTTTTTAAAACAATCCACTGAGCTGGCCAGAACCGACTCTTGAGGGAGTCTATTCCACATTTTCACAGCTCTTACTGTGAAGAAACCTTTCCATATTTGGAGATTAGATCTTTTTTCCTCCAGATGTAAAGAGTGCCCCCTTGTCCTCTGTGATGACCTCAGGGCGAATAACTCTACAACAAGTTCACTATATGAACCACTGATGTATTTATACATGTTGATCATATCCAGTTATATTCTGTGTATCTAAGAAACAATCCAGGCCTTTTTTAAGGCAATCCACTGAGCTGGCTGATTTTTTTATTTTTTTTTATTGGATATGTTTAATAACAGAAAGTAAAAAATATTGTTTTTTTTTTCAAAATGTTCAGTCTTTTTCCATTTATATAATAAAATTTAAAAAAAAAAACGAAACCCAGTGGTGATCAAATACCATCAAAATAAAGCTCTGTTTGTGTTGAAAAAATGATAAAAATATACATTTCATTTTGCTACATTTATGCATGATCAAGCAATTGCCAGTTAAAATAGCGCAGTGCCGAATAGCAAAAAATGTCCTCGTCATGAAGGGGATAAAAACTTCTAGAGCTTAAGAGGTTAACAGCAGCACTCCTTAGACTTTCCATATCACAGCTAAAGCACTTTGTCAATATGGCTGCCGGGAGCCCATCATTTTACAGTAAGGGGGCTGGAATGTCTAAAAAGCCCCCTTATTGTCTCTTCTAAGTCAGCTAACCTAAATTCAAAGGCCAGACAGTATAGTTGGTAAGAATTCATTCTGACAAATTTCCATATTGATTCAATGGGAGAATGAATTTCGAACCTGCTGGATCTTCAGCAAACCCTTGGTAATGGTGAACCCAAACCTCATCCCTAGATTTGAGAAGCCAGGAGATGATTCAACCAGCCACGGCACATCCTGCCTGGAATTTGCATGTTCTCCCTGTGCCTGTGTGGGATTCCCCCGGGTACTCCGGTTTTCTCCAACGTGCCAAAGACATGCTGGTAGGTTAATTGGCTCCTGTCTAAATTGTCCCTAGCATGTGTATGTATGAATGTAAGTTAGGGACCTTAGATTGTACGCCCCTTGAGGGTTAGGGACTGATGTGAATGTACAATATATATGTAAAGCACTGCGTAAATTGACGGCGCTATATAAGTACCGGAAATAAATAAATAAAAAAAAAAATAAAACCCACCACTAAAAACTAATATAACAATTCTGGGTAGCACTGTCTCTTACTGTCAATTTTAGAATGGCAGTTCAAATAACACGCCGAAAGAATTCTCTTCTTGTTGAGTTTACTTGTCAGCAGAGGGCACTGTTAGCTCAGGATTTCAGAGGGACTTCCCTGGCTGTTTTACAAAAGATTTCTAAAGCCGCAATTATCAGGCCGAGGAACTCTTAAAAAGCTTTTGACAGCGGCGAATGGCATTGTAACGTGCATGGCTAACATAGTTGCATTGGATCCCTTCAATAACGAATTCAAAACCATCTTATCTGATCTCATTAAGGCCTCATAAATACTATAACTAAAAATAAAACGTCCATTTTACAGGCGTTTGGCAATTTTTTTTTTCCTGCCTCTAGACGCCCCTTTATGTTAGCCTGTGTGTCCATGCACACATACTGACGATGTTTGCAGGCATTTAGAGGCAGGAGCGTTTAGGGCACGAATCTGAACTCACCAAAATGATGTGGATGAACCTCCTGTTTTTATCGCCCCCTGGCTGCCCAAGTGAAAGGATCCCTAAATCTTTGCAGTGCGCTGATGCATGTTACTCATTACCAGGCACGCTAGGACAGCCTTTTGAAATGAATAAGCTGTCAATGCACGCCGACGTGCCAAATATAACTTAGTGTATTTGAGAAAAAACAGGATTTCTGCTTGCACGTGATTGGATAATGAGCACAGCTTCACCTTTTCATTAGGCTGATTGATCTTTCACATTGTAGCATGAACAATTTCACCTTCTTTAGCAAAACAACTCCACTGACTATGCAATGATATCAAGGGAACAAACTAAGAACGTTCTACCTCAAATATAGCAGCAGAGGGCGCTGTTGTACAAGCTAAAGGCCTCCTGATCTGCAGACTGCAAAGAAAGTTTGTGCAACTTTATAAAAAAAAGGAATAAAGTACTGGGCTCCCTTAATAAGAGAGTGCAGATAGGTAATGAGGCTGTTTTACTAAGAGAAAAAAAAAATGTTTTCCTAGCAAAGTAAAAGCTGTGTTTATGTTAAGTATCAAATCATGTGCAAAGTAAAACCCAAGTTTTTAAATTGTTCTGCACGTTATTGGGTATTCAAAGTCAACACAGCTAAGTGAACTTTAGTTTTTCGTGTTAATAAAAATCATGTGTATTACATAGTTTGGCTGAAAAAAAAAAAACAAAGTCCATCCGGTTCAACCATTAAAAAAAGCTATATTCCTACACCCACAGTTGATCCACGGGAAGACGAAAAAAAAAACAGCAAAGCATGATCCAATTTGTTCCTGCAGGGGAAAAAATTCCTTCCTGATCCCCCGAGAGGCAATTGGATATTCCCTGGATCCACTTTACCTATAAGTGTTAGTATCCAGTTCAGGGGCGGACTGACAACTCATGGGGCCCCTGGGCAATAGGGGACCATGGGGCCCCTGTGTCTTTGCCCAAACTCAAAAAAGCCTATGAAAAAGGTACCAGGGGCATCTCATGGGGCCCCCTACTGACCCCGGACCCTCGGGCAGTGCCTGAGTTTCCAAATGGTCAGTCCGCCCCTGATCCAGTTATATTCTGTGTATCTAAGAATCTCCTCTTCTCAAGAGAGAAAAAATTCAGTTCCTCTAATCTTTCATCATAGCTGAGCTCCTCCATGCTTCTTATCAGGTTGGTTGCCCTCCACTGCGCTTCCTCCAGTTCCCCAGTGTTGTTTTTGTGAATTG